TGACAATAGACGATCACACCGTCTGCTGCACATGTCTGTCCAATCATTTCAATGAATGAATGAATGAAAGACCTTTATTGTACGTTTGTGCTCTAACAAGCTAAGTACAGGTCATGGATAGACAAAGACATGGATACAGCAATGATACTTAAACTATACATACTAATGTGATCTACTATTTACATTGTTCGACTTCTTCTCGCTTCTTGACACAGTTATAGATGTACGAGCATATAGAATTAGTGATACATGGCTTGTCAAGTTTCATAAGAAATAGGAATTTTTCTGATTCATTTAAATGTGCAAAGCTGGGGAACTTATCTATTATATAAGAATATAGGGAATCTCTCTCATTACTATATAACGTACAATTGACTACGAAATGATACTCATCCTCAATCTTATTTAAATCGCAAAATTGGCAAATCCTTTGCTCTAGAGGAATGCGGTTGTGTCTGCCTTTTTCTATGTGGAGTTTGTGTGAACTTATCCGGAGTTTTGTGAAGACTGTTCTGTGTCGAATGTTTGTAATTTTCAGGTAATTTTCCTCGTGGTAAGTATTTTTTAATAATCTGTATGTCCGTAATTTGTTGTTGTTCCGCATTTCTGATATAAAAGATTGGAGATACATGTCCTTAAGACGTTGGTTGATGGAAGATATAATTTGGGGCAAATTGAAGGTAGAAGACAAGGACGAATGCCAAACATAGGCAAAACCGCTTTCCTCTAGTGTCTTACGAACACCAGCAGCCCAGCATTTGGCACCTACCGCATCTAAATCAAATTGGCACAAAAGGGCGTCTGTAGAGAGACTGTCAGCTGGCACGTTCTGGCGTATAATAATAAGTACTAGGTAAGGTTGTAATATCTTGTTACAATCAAATGGGGCTAGTCATGGGTTTTAACTAATAACAAAGGAATTTTATGAATTTACCTATTTCTGCACTGTGAGTGGTCAAATATATATTATCTTCATCAAAAGTACTTTTAATGACGTGTTTGGCTAAATCATTTCATTTGTAAATACTAATAGAACCCACCGAGCAGCCGTCCGGTCTCCAGGCTTCCTGCGTCTCGCTCCAGAAGACACAGCCCAAACGGGCCCATTCCATCCGGTAGGCGTAGAAGTCAGTGGCGTGTGGTTCCTTCACTTCGGGTCTGTTCTCAATGCCACACTCCGTCACTGGTCCTGACAATAAGAAGGTTTATAACACCTTCCTAACATAAGACAATTCCACTTTATCTGGCACAACATTCACCTTCTACTTCTGTCAAGCATGTTTGTGTTTCAAAACTACTCACCAAGTATTTGGACCTTGATGTAGTAATCCACAGGACCATCCTCTCCCGAGATGAACATTCTAACCTCTGTCTTCTGTGTGTCTTCCTCACCACTCAGAGTTTTCATCAAGGCACACTCCTCGGGTAGGACGTACGTCTCTGTGGACATGTTGTAGTTTTGGTCATCAGGGCGGCCGCCGTACCTGCCTGACACACGGTAAACCACACTGGTGTTCAGCGGGGTGATTGTGACAAGGAAGCCTTCTGCGGCATTGGTGAGGTTCAGCAAATGGTTACTGGAACTTCCGTTTCCTTGGGCAAGGATGGTGACGGTTGTTGTTGCTGGTTTGTTTGCGGATTTGGCCGGAATGGTGATAATGAAGTCTTCCGTCAGGTTGTTGAAGGCCGCGGGGATGTTGTTCTGTTGGAGTGACAGCTCCATGACAGACGAATGTGGTTGGTACTCCCCGCGCCCCCAGGTAAAATGGTTCTGTTGAAACTGCATGAACTGATGTACAAAAAAATGCCCGATAGCTCATTGTCATGTTTGTAACAAGAGTAGAACATGTATACTATTTTTATGGAAAAATTTATTGTACAGAAAATTATAAACAAATGACGTATATCATGAATAATAAGTATAGTCCGAGAATCCAAAGCCATTGGGGAAAGAGGGGACAAAAACCATGTACAACTTCTTAACAATGATGAGAATTGAACTGTTACATTGATATCATCACACAGGTAGAAGAGAGGAAAGACATTCAGGATCATTGATGAAGTGGGAACATGACATTTACCTCTATAGCGACGCTGTGCGGCGTATAGTCCGCGAAAAGCGCTGCTCTAGACGGAAGTTGGAAGCTCCCATCCTCCGTCTGGACGACCTGGCCTCCAAACCGGTCGCCCCAGATCTTCTGGGCATGTAGCGTGATGCCGCCCCTCTCGATGATGACCGCCGGGGCTCCTGGCCTCATTGCACCGATGATGGCGTTGAACAGACCGTGCAGGACCTGGCGGGCTTCCAGGACAAATTTTCGTCTCTGTAAGAGGAATTTGCATTCCGTAATCAAAACATACAGGTGACAGAGTGGAAATCACGTCCGGCTTGCGAGTTTGTTTATCTACAGAATTTCAAGAGACTCAATTTTTAATGATTTTTTGTTACCTTGGCTTGATTCTCCTGCTTCTTTTCTTCCGCCTTTTGAAAGCGCTCCTTTGGAGAGAGACTCTGGTCCTCTTCCAGATCAGAGGTGAGCTTCACATCAGCCTCTTCTTCATCTCTCTCTGGTTCCTCAAGCAGAGAACTAACAGACTCCACCAGAGCTGCAGAAAACAGACCTTTAAATTACCTGCAACCTTGTTTTTCTGCAGGTTGCATGTGGTTGTGAATACCCCAAAACGTCGGAATACATAACAAGAAGATCAGAAACAGTACGACTGAACATGACATTATACTTACCTCCTCCCACAGACTGGACAGTCAACGGGTCAGACATGTCCAGCTGGTCCAGTTTGCTGGTGATGGACTTCAGAACACCCATGATTATGTCCTATATGGCAGCGTAAATCTGACTAAATGTATGTCAGGCAGAATTTCACTAATCGAACAAAGATTTACATTATCGTGAGAAAAGACTTTCAATTTGATAATGTCTGGAAAATGAAATATTTGTTCAGCACATTGAAGTACAGAGCAAGATGAATATCCATTGGCATGCTGCAGCTGCAGATCTAAATATTGAAAAGGAATGCCAAAATACAACCTACTTGTCATAAAAGTTGTGCCATGCATAACACAACTTACATGCATGCTACCGGTATTAGGCACAAACATACATAAATCAGAATTAGAGAAAGATCAATTTGAATGTTTTCTGCACAGTTGCAAGCCGTAGTTTTGAGAAGCCATGTTGTAGTTGTAGGTGAGTAGTCAAACGATTCAGCTTTGTAAACAAAAAATCCAATCAGAGACTTGTACCTTATCCTCCTGTGGTATGCCAGGACAGGACTTAACGACGGGTGATAATAACTCAGACACCATTTGCAGACGTTCCGGCGTCTGGGCCCGACCAGTTACAGAGGCCCATGTTTTAAATGCCTTCCTGCACATCTACATCAACGAATAACAAGATTGAGCACCTTTGTTTCTTAACATGACCCTAAAAGCTTTCACGAATGTTTCCCAATGTTTAACAACTACAGACTACCAAACATGGCTTACCTGCGCCTTTTCCTCAGCAGCTGATATCGGCTGCCCCAACACAACATCATCTCCTGAGACATCTGCAGCCTTCTCATTAAAGCACGATAAAGTTGCAGAAAAAAGTTGCTGGTTAGCAACAAATCAAAGAACTAGGTTCATGTAAATGTAACATAAGATTCTACTCCCATACCACAGTGACCATGCGTATGGAAATTTCTAAAAAAAAAAGATACCAGTCTAGTGAATGAGGGACCCATCTTTTTTCCAGTTAGACTAACCTGAGCCAGAATCTGGAGCACATCCTGTGGGCTTGAGCCGACGGATTCTGCATAGATGCTCTCCAGACTGATAACAAGTGCCTATTGAACGGGAATTAAGGGCAGCAGATTCAGAATACTAGATAATGGTATACCTTACAATTGGATAGGAATTAAGGGAAGTGCAGTCAGAATATTAGATACGTGCCTTACTATTGCACAGGATGATAAAGAATGGATATACAAATCTAATGTTTGGAAAGAAGTCCCATTTAAATCCCATCTAGCTGTAGAACTGCACAGTTTACAGTTTACCCGATCAGCTGACGTTGCCTTGTTGCCGCCCGGCGGCCTGCTGATGGTCTCTGTGGTTCCTACACAACAGAAACAGAAATGTAATTATTCAATTACTAACCACGTTTTACCTTTACAATGACATTGAAGCATGGCATTCTTTTACTCAATATAACATTGAAGGCAATGATGGGTTTGTAATTTAAGAGTAGATTCTATTGTCAAGGGAAGAGCATAGTTTCAAAAGCTTCCCCCAGTCACTCAAATTCAGAAAAGAAGACAGTTATGAGACTGTACAAATTTACACCAGTTTACACATATATATTTTATCACACTAGATACACGGACTAATAACATTAATGCATCATATGTGAACCTTGTAAAAAGTGACTAGCCTGCTCCATGTATTTGCTCAGATGTAAACAGATATTAAGAACGTACCATCTGCGTCTGATCCGAGTTGTACAGTTGGAGTTGATGGTCTGGTGGACATGGATGTGGGCATCCCACTTGTCTGCTTAGTTGTTTCAGCAGCTGATGGTGTGGTGGCTGTAGAGAAGAAACATTAGTATCAAAATATGAATACATGTTAAGACGAATTTCTAAAGTTTTGGGGTATAACGATACTAACACTACAGCTGATATCATTGGAACATCAGGCTTCATCAAGCAAAACATGAGTACTTGTTGAAAAGCAAATATTATCATAGACTCAAGTGACAGGCCCTATAAAAAGTGTCCATTGCTTAATGATGGCCTCTCCAGTGTTTCAGTGCTGGAAACCTACCGTCATCAGATGCTTCCTCGTCCGACCCAGCTTCCCATACAGTCGAGGTTTCAGGTTTGGTGGAAAGGCGGATGGTCATCCGGCTTGTCTGCTGGGTTGTAGCAGCAGGAATTGTGGTTGGTGTGGCGGCTGGCAGAGAAAAGACTCAGGGTTAACTGACAAAAACACAGCCAAGAAGACTGTACAGTTTTGTACTCTGAGACAAATCTAATCTTAAGGTTTTAGCATGTATCTGGACTAAATCCATTATTTCCTAAATTTTTGGAAGACAAATATGGAATAAGCAATGTGGAATAAACATAGTACATCAAATCACGTGTTTCTCCCATAGCTTTAAATACAAATACAATGAACCTTTTGATTAGTAGTAATACATAGTTATGAGTGTGCTTGACTACAGAACAGTTCCTCATGTAAAGAATGCCCGCTTTCCAAAAACTACTAGTAACTTTTCTTACATTGTACAAAATGTTTTATTCACCATGACCACAGCAATGCACAACCTGGCAATGTTATGGTATCAACAGAGAGTCGGAATAAGATCCATCTTTGGATTCATCAACAGTCAACAAAAGCTAAACTCTCCCTACCTGTAATTGCCCGTATCACTGTCGCCTCGCTCTGTGACCTCCAACCACCTGAAGAGAACAGGGCCGTCACCCTGATGATGTAAGCAGTCTCCGGTACCAGGCCGACCACCGGAAACCACGCATCGTCAGTGCTCTGATTGACAGCTGTCGTCAGGTCCAGCTCGGACACCACCACACGGTACCCCTGAAGGTTAGGGTCAGGGGATGGAGACCACGTGACCTTGAACCCTTCGTCCGTAATGTCAGTTACAGCCAGGTCAATTGGTGAATCCACAGCTGCAAGAAAAAGGATTGTTAAGAAATGTTTACTCTTGAAATAGATGTAAATAGAGCACCAAATGTAATTTATGCGCTCATTATAACCTACAGCCTAAATAATGCATCTAAAATTATTTTTAAAGGCCTGTAAGTTTAGGTCACAAAAGTATGCAGCTTCACTTTTCTAAATAAAACAGAATTAAGGGATAAAGATTAATACATAATTTGTGAAAGAGGACAACTGTTACTGGTGTATGCGATACCTTCATCACAAAGCTGTGTCTTCCATCCATCTCTACAGCCAGCCGAGCAGACACCCGATACTGGGTCACAGTTCACGTCCCCACCCAGGCAGTGGCCGCACACTGTGAAACAAAGAACTTAGTATTAACACAACCAGAGGTTATGTCATGTTCCTTTTACTAGACTTTCATTTCAAATGTTGCATCAAAATTCCAATTACACCTGCATTTCAAAACTTTCCCATGCAGGTAAACTTGGGCTAACAGAGAAAAGTGTAGTTTGTTTGTTTGTTTGTTTATTTATTTAAATGCAACAGTGCATAACAAGTGGCAACCAGGCAGGCAGTAGTTAGAAAAGTATATTTAAAAGTTACATGAAAGAATTGGCTGCTTGTCAAAATATTGCTTTGATGTCAAGAAGAAAGCGTTAAGAATAAAGTCAAAGAAGAAGGGCTTTGCGTATTTGAACTGTGTAAATAAATATACACCTGTGTGGCAAACTACGTATCACACAATTTTACCTCGACAGCCGTAGGCATCTTCCTTAAGCACGAAGCCCTGTAGACAGAAGCACCTGTAGCTCCCGGGGACGTTGGTGCAGATCTGGTCACACCGACCGTTCTCTGTCGCACATTCGTCGGGCTCTGCAAAGACATTACAATACAGAGGCAAATTTAAGATCTGAAACACTTATAAATGTTACCTCTACAATAGCCGCAATTTCACAAGTTAAAATTTCTTATCTGAAAGCTAAATCATGGTCAAAATTTTGTAGAGTAAAATATTAACGTTGGGCGGGATGTGCCATATGGGGTTTGGCCCAGTATAAAAGAGATGTAACTTTAGGTGTCAAGATTCTACATCAGAGCAAAAACAGTGAATTAAATAACTGGTGAAGTTGACTCACCAGTCTCATTCTGGCCGACTAGAGGCAGACTTTCATAGCGAACTCCGATGGTGATGATCTCCACCTTGTACATCACAGCGGGCTGGAGGCCGTCAATGACAGCAGATGTATCTCCTGGACCTGGAGAGGGGATGAGCTGTTCTGTCGCCGCCACCTGTCCGTACATGACGCGGTATCCGGTCACGACCGCATCAGGGGGCACCCAGGTGAACCTCAGCGAGGTCGTCGTCTCGGTCACAGGAACGAACTCCAGGTCAGTAGAGGAGACCGTTCCTGAAAATAAAGGGTAAAAATTACTGTCTTCACCAAGCTTCATGAACTAAATTTTAAAAGGAACTCGAAGTTAAAGAAGCTTTCCCCTTTCTCACATTGCAAAATTATAGTTTCTATATGATGTCTAAATGTCTAGGCACTATTCTTCATAATCATAGCTTAAATTAATTTAGCAAACGTCTGCAAATGTCACTGTCTCAAGGACATGTATCTTATCATGGTAAAGCCAGGCTTACTTCATCAGAAGTAGGTTTTCCTTACTTGTGGTTGCCTCTGTCGTTGTCGCGTTGCTCTGTGCCCAGCGACCATCAGGCAGGACCGACACCGTCACCCTGATGATGTAATCAGTGTCCAGTGTCAGTCCCACCACCTGAAGATATGTCTGACCCGTGCTCTGATTGACAGCTGTCGTCAGGTCCAGCTCGGACACCACCACACGGTACCCCTGAAGGTCAGGGTGTGGGGATGGAGACCACGTGACCTTGAAACCGTCAACCGTGATGTCAGTTATGGTCAGGTTCATTGGTGGATCAATAGCTGTGGGAAGACAATATTCAAGATGAGAAATAACAACTATACTTTTATCTGCTGACTATGTGCTCTTACTATCATCATACAAGCAGATGCGTTACGCAGAGGAGCGGTTATGCTGGCTATGCTGATACAGATGTAAAAAAAATTCCTGTATACAAAGGATACATTCGTATTATTCTGAATGTTGCTGATTGTCTATCTGTAGCTGTAAAGCAAAGAGGTCACAACACATTATATGTCTTAAACTAGAGTTCAGCGATCTCATACCTCCATGACAGTTTAGTGCTTTCGTAAATCTAATGCATGGTGATGACCACCTGTAAACGGCTTACATTTGCAATTCTGCTCAATAGCAAAATTTTTATGCAAAATTATTCACATGACCCCTACCTGGCAACACACTGGTACCTTTACCATTTGGCATGGCGGTATGACATACCTTTACCAAAGTGACTTATTCTACATTTTTTCACTGCGATTATGCAAATTACAATAGTGCCATTTGCATATATCAGTTGATCATAATCTCCACCCACTGACAAGATAGCTTTTCCTAATAAATTATGCAAATGAGATCCTGATTTGAATTAACTATGTTTAGTATAATGTTCACCTTCACTGAACTTCCAATTATGGCAAGTATTAAATTCCCAGCCGTTACTACTATAACTTGTGAGACGATTTATTACTGCAAACTGTCTTACCTGTGCATGTTGGGACAGACCCACCCCAAATTCGGTCCGCGTGGCACCTCACACTAGAGGCTCCTTCCAGCTCGTACCCCGGGTTACAGGTGAACCTCACCACGTCATTGTAGGAGTTCGTTCCTTCGGTACTCAGCGCTCCATTATCTGGCGGAGTCAGCGTTGGGCATTGGGTAGCTGATGGGATAGACAGATGTTGATCAATAAAATTTTTATTCTAGCATATGTTGTGCAGACTCTATTTCATTTAGTTTCTCCATCTTCTACAACTGCTCTTAGCTTCTGAAATGGTAAGAGCAATACCACAACACAGGTTATACCCTGAAAAAGGCTAATGTAATAGCCTCAGGTGTCCAAAACTACTTAAGCTGCCGAGTCGCTTTCAAGAATAAGACCTTTTAGTTGCCCCATATCACATCACAGTAATCCAATTTGGGCAAAATCATGCCGTTAAAAACGTTTAATTTACCTTGATATAAAATAATAGAATCTATTTCATATTCATTTACAAACTTGGTGAATCCCTCACCCACACCCACATCAATTAGATTCTGGTCAAACCAGACACAAATGTATTTTTGTGTCTTTTGAATGGTTGTTAATGTCCGATATGAAATCTTATATTTAGAGTGAATTAAAAGTTGATAGTGCCTAATACTTAATACTACTTACCTGGTGAGCCTGCACACACGGTGTACACAATCCTGTCTCCGCTCCCGTCTGAGCGGAAGGCTGCTTCTATGTTGTACAGACCGAGACGACTCTCGTATATCCCACGTTGGCACACGGTGTGGTGACAGCTGTTAAAGGCGAAGCTCCTGCCTGCTGTATACGTAGCCGCAGCTGAGAAAGCCAAGTTCGCCACCGCAGCTACACGGGCGGCCGGGTTACAGCTGAGCACGTTTCTGATGTAGGGATCAGAGTTGTACTCAGTCACACACCTAGAAACATAACAACGCTTGTAAGATAGTTCAACCATTGTTAAGTCTTCACCCCTTGTAACAAAAGATGTAGTAGACAGTGGACTGTAGATTAACTTTGTCTGGCCTCCCTAAGAATTGTGAACTTCACATGTACTGAAGGCAATATAGGACATACTGACTGGATTCACACCAATTAAATCTTTAGTGTGGAGCTGCAGTGTGCTATGACAGGATTAACCAGCATGCACTATATGACATAATTGACCAGCGTGCACTATGACAGGATTAACTAGTGTGCACTATGACAAGATTAACCAGTGTGCACAATGACTGTTCTGAATGTCACTCGTCCTACCGGATACGAAGGGGGTCGCTGTTGCTCCCACCCTCGAGGGCCATGTCCTCTCCACAGCCCGTGGACCTCACTCCGTATTCGATACATAGGTTTTGGTAGTCCTTGCACCAGTCCAAAGTGGCAGACAGGCCGTCAGCTGGCAGCCTTGCCTCCAAGACGAAGAAGTCGACTCCTTGGTACTGTTGGTTTGCAGTACGGAGGACCTCAAAGGCATGATTTCCTGGTGAGAAAATGGAACTTAAGTTCGTATAAAAAATTTATCATGGGGCCGTGTGGCATAGTGGTAGCGTCTTCGGCTCGGACCTTGGGAAAGGCACTTGACACGACTTTCCTCACTTTAGGCCATGTTGATTTTATTATATGGATGATCCGCGCACGCATGAATTTTCGGCCGTTTTCAACCATACTGTAAATCTGAACAAAACAGTTTCAAACTGAGCAAATATATACCGTAAATTGAAAAAAGATATTTGAAACCGATACCAATGTCGCATAATGAATGAAAAAGACAAAAATATGAAGAAATGAATTTAAAGAGTAGCTCTATATAATCAAATCAACATGGACTTACTAGCTTTCTAACGAAAGGCATGTCACCTCGTAAGGGGCGGTACAACCCCGACCAAGGACCTTGCCCCGACCAATACAGTCGACCGATGATGATGATGATGATGAACATGGGGGCAGCCTGTCGATAGCACTTGTAAAGTTAAAGAGAACTAGAAAGGCCGACATTTGCTTTGGAGCAAATTCAGCAGATGGCTTCACATACCCCGTACCAAAAAATGGGCCTGCCCCCTCCCGCACAAATGGATTGTCCTTTAATCACCCCTGTCAAAAATGGGAAGTGTTTCATCAGTCTGTGCCGCCATGAAGCAATGGAATCTTCCAATGCCTTCCGAAAATGTTTCTAGTTTATATACTTAATCTTATTAATGACTGAACACACGTACACTGTGCACTCCGTACAAGATTCCCGAGGACCATACACAGAACACAAGGAACTCGGTCCTTCACAGATTCCCAAGAAATCCATACACTTAACCAAGGCTATAGGGCCCTCTCAACCTCTATGACTCAACATTAACACCGTGAACTCGGTCCGTTTTGAGATTCGCGATAATTCTCCTTACAATGAACAACAACGTTGCAACAGCTTAATGCTGATTGGTCAATATCTAAAACTCGAGCAGAGCGCCCTGCACTAGATAGGCACGGTAAAAGTATAAAAGGAGGAGTGGTCCGATCTCTGTCATTCTTGATAAAGACTGAATTAAAGTCGAAACCGGTAGAAATCCGTCTCGAGTCTGTCATCTTCCCATCGCTACGAATGATATATAACATATAATGTTACTTTACAACTAGAGTTCCACGATCACATACCTTCGCCAAATGATGTTAATCTTTATGACTAAAAAAAGTATGTATTATTCCCCCAGATTATGCACATAGGATCCTCATTTCCATGAATTATATCAGTTGATCATAGACAGTCTAATCTTACAAAAAAATGTCATTCTAACATTTCCTCATAAATTATGCAAGTGAGGTCTTTATTTGAATAAGTTATGTTCACTTAACTTTCAAATACCTAAATATGACATTCCAGGCAGTTACCATTGATGAATTACAGCAATTTCTCATTAATTATGCAAATTAATTGTAAGTTTACATAATCAATATCTGTCTATATTTCTCTTGTTCTCAATTACATATGCTACAAGCTTCAATAGTTCTATTATGTAATACAACTGATTTATAGAATTTCTCCATAAATTATGCAAATTACATCCGAATTTGCATAATTGTCACATAATTATGTCAAGCATCAGAGCAGTCATATTGTTAACCATTGTCCGTTTGATTTAATGTAGGTGTTTGCGATCTTCCATGAGAATGTCAACCGGAAGGGACCACCGCCCTGAATTGGGTACAACATTGTTACAACAGGTGTTATGAACCAGTCACTGATGCACCCTTGCGGTGCGATGGTGTATTGCACAAGCATATTTTACATGTGAGTTATCTTCTGGAAATAATCGTGCTTGCCATGTTACTAGAAATAACTGATGCGACTATGCACAACATCTCATGCGCATTGATACATGCATGGAAAACAGCGTTTTGGCGGCTCTTTCTGCCAGTTTTGGGCGTGCCTTAAATGTGGTTCCATGCACATCGACATTTGCTGTGTGGCCGGCTCTGAACAATAACATCTAAATTATTCATCATGTAATGGCTGCTAAATCGTGTCACACCCACAATGTCCAAAGTGGTCTCGCCATTTCGTTCATAGATCGAGTGGCCTTATCGGGGAAGAGAAAATTTAGACTCTAAACATTTTTTTTTCAATTTTAAAAAATAGCAAGACCAAGATGGTGCTATATACAATTACGAAAGATATATCACACCCGTTTTATTTGTTACACTTCAATTCTGCTAACTATACTATTTTCTTCTTCCATCTATGTCTTCAGAATTTGGTCCTCCACTCTCGTATCATTCTTCTCTTAAGATTCCCTGCAACTTTGACGGTTAGTTAAAACAATAGGCAGAATATTACCTTGGACACCACTTCACATATTTCCATTACTTTGAAGTTTATTTTCTACTTATTTCTTTATTCATCCTAACATAATATTTAAAGACGAAGCCGTGGCCTGGTAAGGGATTTGAAAACGATTTGATGAGAATGATTTGTTTGCAATTCATGAACCTAAGTTTATGGTAAAATGCATATCATCCCGCTTGCATCTACTAATATCTCACAGCCAAGCTTTGTCACAATTTGTCTCAGTATGACCGAGTACAAGTCAACATTCGATTTTAACGAGCTTGGTTACTGGCTCATACGTTATACATGTGTTTAGAAAAGAGCAAAAGAGACGCAAGAATATAGAATATTCCGTAAAAAGCTCTAGATGTAATATACATCGGTTAAATAAAAGTACACTGACCAGGCATACTTGTATCACACCCAGCCTGTTCTGTACCAAAGCGTGGCAGCAAAATTATATTTACAGCTATGACGCACAGAACACATTAAAGTAAAAATAGATCTTCGGTAAGTTGTTACGCTAATAATAACACGATTTACGACATATTCGGTGCCTGTATCTGTTTTCGGGCGCGCGCGCTTGTTTTAGAACTCATGTCTCATCTCACCCTGTCCGCTTCCGATAGTGACGAAGCAAGCTGCAATCCAAGCGCTACAGAAGAGACGCAAAGCAAGCATTTTCCTCCGCTCTTCCCGTCTGTTTTAGTCCGGTAGAAATATGTAAAAGCACACGCCTAGCAATTGCAGTAAATGTAGAGATGTCATCGACCGACAGACTTCTTACCATGTTTATCGTTAATGAGATAGACATGTTGCTAGGAGGGCGAAACCATTGCAACAATGGGAAGGAAAATTTTCCATAATACGCGAGAACAGATTTACAGACATTGATGGAACTTCATGCTATTTACTATAAACGATTTAGACAATTGACTTTTGTAAACGAATTATTTTGGCACCACGTTCGCAATAAACCTCATCCTTTGTATGAAATAATTTTACATCACACCCGCTGTTACGATATTCAAGAGACCCAACTCTTGCTTTCAGTCAGATGGAAAACAAGGGAACAAATGGTAGTGGTCACCTTGGTCACCTAGCAACGGCATTTGTTTACTACTCCGACGGGTACTGCTGCTACGCCAATATGTACACGTTTTGCGTACAGCTAACGCCCCTGTAGCGTAATAAAATATCAAAATCCTGAAAGACATATTCATGACGGTAGGCACATATCTACTCAGATAGATATAACGTTACATACATACAGAAATATAGATAGATAGATATAGATAATTTTATATAGATATATAGATAGATATCAACAGGGCAATGGTGCAAGGAACCACATAAAGCACGCCCAAAACTGGAAGAAAGGGACGTCAAGCCGCTATTTGACATGAATCAATGCACATGAGATGTTGTCCATAGTCGCATCAGTCATTTCTAGTGACATGGCAAGCACGATTATTTCCAGAAGGTAACTCCTTTATAGTTGTGGTGTAGAGCCCACCCTCCATTCTGTTAAAGGCAATCTCAAAAACAGAAGGGATTGTTCTGGTTTTGCGGATTTTTTTCTGAATTATAACATTTAAAAAGACGGGATGACCGGCGAACACGGTGACGCATCGCGCGTGGTGCGTCTGGTCTGGCGAGCTGCAGTTACCGCCTAGTACTGTTCTAACAAGATGGCTGACGAGTCCCACGTCGTGCGACACACAAGGCAGTTAGAGTTGACGGTCTCTCCGGCCACCGGCTGGCGTTACAATGAACGATATAAATCGGCGCTCCGCCGCAAACTTCCGCTGATTTTCCGGATGTCTTTCTAAAATTCTAAGCTCAGCTGATATGGAATGGGAGCAATGTAAAATATGTAATTGTCAAAAAAGCAAGTTCTCGCCATTTTCAGCTTAGGAAACTAAAACGCTTTTGCAGTCTGCAGCCAAGACCTTTGGGACGTTTATTATTACTTACCGTGTACCCGCCCAGCTATAGAGTGTGTGACTTCGGTGTGGAATGCAGGTTTAACAATCTTATCATCTATAATAAATACAAAAGCGCGCGATCAGAATAATTCTCGGCACTGATTTCTCCTCCCATACCGTACGTACTGATGCACTAGTATCCAAATTTTACTCCCCAAGCAGAGATTGGTTGGTAAGATCGTGATCTTTCTAAATATGCATTAAAGCCATTATACACCGAAGTAGTAATTTATGATAGCTGATTTGCTTAATTCTGTCGCGCCGACCCTGTTGATTCTGGCAAAGAGCCATGAATGAGATCAGCACACAGCCTACTACTGCCCTAGCCCGTGCCCTGCCAGGACACTCCTGTATGCCCGCGAAGTGGAATATGGCGGGAAGTTGACAGAATAAACATGATGTATCATGAAAAAGAACTCTGAAGAGAAATGTGAATGCAAAGCCTATCATTATACACGGATAACATTAGATTTAGCTTCAGTAAACCATTCTATCGTTTTCAATGTAGACTGCAATAGTTTGGCAACCGGCCAGGTACTTTCCATGATGTAATGGTTTCACTTGTGATTGGAGAATATTATGGGTTTATCCTGACCTCGGGACTTTCCGACTCTTACGTTGAATTTATTCGACGTCAAAAATCCGAAAAGCGTAGACTGTTCCCGTCTGTTCGTTATGTTTTGCTAATTCTGTACATTGTCAAGACCTCTGGCTTTTTCGTACTTTCCGTGTACCATACTTTTCGGGGCGTCGAAATGAGGCATTTACTATTTAGACCCCTATAGGTGTTCTACTGTGTTCTCTTGCCTTCAGAACACACAGAACACATTTGTTGTACGTTTCATGTTGTGTGATCGCTGAAGCCATGGAACCAATGTTCTGCGATGAGTGTGGCGCTCGGACGAAGCAGAGAGATAACTTCTGCAACCATTGTGGGAACCAGTTAAGGACAAGAAGGGGCCTGGTGAGACAGTTTTAGATATCATATGAACACTTTCGTTTTCTATTGTGGTCTTTCTATCTAATGCTGGGCTACACCAATTATTGATAACTTTAATGCTTGTGAAAGTGAAAGCTGCTACATTCTGCTGGTCGTGTATGCTATCATGGGCAAATCAAGAGACATTTACAATCATTAGTTCCCCTTTCTTACTATTTGACTGACTTTATGTACGTACAAAAAGCTCTCAAAGACCCTGAAGACCCATCAAACCCCCAGTTTTCGGTATGCTATGGAGGCTAAACTATCCTGGGTACCATCCGGCTTTTGCTCCGCTACGCTCGAGTAATTTTGTCGAGAGTAGGGAGCAAATCCGGACGGTACCCAGGATAGCGCTAGCCCTCAACGGTGACGCAGTTTTGTAAGCACTGTTGATCCCCTGCTAGAGAGTAGACACAATTCATTTCATGAGGTGAACTACGGTGCACCCAAATCAACCCGTATATCACCTACCTTCCACCAGGTACTCTTAAAGGGGCAAAGTCGGCAAAAATATGGTCACTCCAGGGGAGTAGGTCCACCAGTATCGTTTCATTTCTCCTCTGGTTGGCAAATGAACTCTACGGTAGCTAACCCCCCTGGTCAAGTATTCTCCCTATTTGGCTAAATTGTAAGCTTTTTTAATCCTTAAAGGTAGTCTAATGGAGACTATTATATATCTCGCCCCTCACTTGAAGGGGAAGTACCATAAAACTTTTTTGTGCAAGTCAATCTTAAATCACGTACTAGAAACCGGTTACGTTACGTAACCATGATACGAGTAGGCTACTACAAACAGGTGGACACAACGTTGTTTATTGTGGATGCAGCCTGCCTTATGTATATATGTAATTACCGACAATTTTTCATTGCAATTTTCTTTAATTTTCTATACTCAGGTTTCGATGCTGGCGTCACAAATACCTGCACAGGCAATTGAAGGAAGATCTGCGTGTAAACAGTCTGAAGAAGCGTGGAAAGAGTCCGAGAGGCAGACTGCGCGGTTTACTCAGATACAGATGGTGTTAACGGAGAATCGGCAGGTTAACCAGGCTTATGATGATTTAGAAAAGAAGTACCAGAAGGCAATGGTTGTATTTAAAGAAAAATACCGACGGGCTAAGCAGGCTAATGTTGCTTTGTCGGAGAAACACCAAAAAGTTTTACAAATTAATGAAAAACAACATGAGCAGGCTCTGCAGGCTAAGGAAATGGAACATAAACAGGCCATTCTTGAAATGGAATATAGACATAGGCTGGCCATGCAGGATAGTGAAGAGAGGCATAAACAAGATGTGTTGGCTAGGGAAGAGAGGCATAAACAAGATGTGTTGGCTAGAGAAGAGAGGCATAAACAAGATGTCTTGGCTAGGGAAGAGAGGCATAAACAAGATGTGTTGGCTAGGGAAGAGAGACATAAACAAGATTTTATGGCTAGTGGCGAGAGGCATAAAAAAGATTTGTCAGCTAGTGACGAGTGGAATAGGCATAACTTGTTAGCTACTAACGACTGGAATAGGCAGGCTGCTCTGGCTAGTAGAGAGGACATGGAAGAGAGACACAAAGAAGATTTGCAAGATTTCAAAGATACGTATATGTTCAGTCAAGCTCTACTGACGGAAGGATCTGGCAACTATGGTCTTAAAGACCGGCACTCGAAGAAGGTAGGTTTTGCCGCTTCATAAACGGTGTCTGCTTTATTACCTCCATGAAAAATGGAGGTATTGTTTTGGGCGCGCGCGCGTGCGTGCGTGCGTGTGTGTGTGTGTGTTTCAAGCAGCATAATTCTTGAACCGTTGGATGGTATGCTGGTAAGTCTTAGGAAGACGAAGGTCAAGGTCAAATATGGGCCTTCTGGTGGATGACCTTGGCACTGCAGCAGAACTTCCGGTTTTTGTATCTTTTGTCCTGAACATGCTATGGTCTTGACTTGTGACAGATATTTTTTCCTGTCAGGAATGAGTAGTGTGGGTTTGGTCCACCTAGCAGCTTGTTCTGGAACTGCAGGGGACGAAATCTTTAAAAGCCAATAAGTCCAGATAGGAACAACGTATTTTCATCATTTTTGGTGTGTAGGTAGCTGAGAGAGAGTTGTACATAATTAAATGCAAATTATGCAAATGAGGACTTTATTTGCATAATTGATAAGGAAACTATATAATTAGTGTTTTACATTATAGTACTTTCATTCATGTAATGTATGTGATCTATGGCAGATGGAACATCAACAGATACCAATTATGCAAATGATGACCTAAATTGCATAATAAATGCGAAAGTTCTATGATTTCTTAATGGTGAATGATGACAATTCTATACCTTGTGACATGTGTACGTTACATAAATGTTAACAGCACTATTATGTTAATATAGAGATAATTTGCATAATTAGTGAGGACATGTTGAAATGAAATATTGCCAAAGGATAGGAGTTCGACACGCAAAACATTGTAAGTTGAGTTTAGAACACCATAAATTAAACTAGATTATATTAATTGCCACATTATTTCCATATTCAATGAAATAAATCATTTACATAAACTCTACATATTTCATGGAGGTATGAGATCTCCGAATTCTTGTTATTATTCCGTTGCCTTTTTTAAACTTTTTTTCTTAACATTTTTTCGAAAGGCATGGCAGTACATATTTTGTATGTTTTAAACGGTTTTACTTTCTATATAGGTGCTGGTCAATATTATTATACTACAATTATAAATGTTTCATAAGTTATATATGAGCGAAAACAATATTTGTGTTTGTTACAGAGTCCAAAGAATCCCGCAATATCCCGGCCCGCCCTTCATACCCGTGCAGACCGGCGACAAAGCAAGCGACGGCTTATCCCATCGCCACCCGTCTCCGGTGCCGGAGTCCATATTGACCGGCAACAAGACAGGCTACCGTCTTCCCCATCCCAAACCGCCCCTGACACCAGTACAGCAGCCGGTGTAGACCAGCGGCAGGACAGGCCACCGTCCCCCGAATCCCAACCCCAACCCAGCCCTGCCGTCGGTACAGTCTATGTGGAGCCGCAGCCCAGGCCACCGTCGCCATGGGAGGAGGTAAGTGTTGCTATCGTATGGTTATTACCTCCATGAAAATGGAGGTATTGTTTTTGGCGCGTCTGTGTGTGTGTTTGTGTGTGTGTGTGTTTCACAATACCTCCATTTTCATGGAGGTAAAAACTCATATATTTCATGGTATGAGATCTCCAAATTCTTGTTCCAAAATGTGTGGTTTGCGTATTGTTAACCAGGTAAAATTCAAGTTGTTATATTCTGATGAACACATTTCTTTCTGCAGGACGTAAACTGCTATTCATCTATAAGTCACAAAGACATCGCAGACTTCCTTCGTAACCACCGGGAGCGCCTTACAGACACAGACCGTAAACTTCTACAGGAAGCCATGACACTTGTTGTGCCCGAGTCTAATTGGGTTCTGAACCACGCAGAGATAACTGTGTACGGAGAGCAAATGACGGTAGTTTTCTATTCTGGTGAAAGAACCAACAAATATGTGGTGCGACTTGACTCGGAACTTAACCCAATCCATGAGGTGGAAGAAAGGGGATGGGGTCTTTCGGCGCGCGACGCCGCCCTGAGCGGCTGGGATTGGACTAAAGATGCGGTTCGAGGCGCGGTTAGCACGGCGGCTGGGGCTGCCGCTGGTGGTAGTCTGACCGGTATAACTAGTGGTTTGATTGGTGTCTGCAAGTCACTAGTATGGAAGGAGAAGGAGGAGAAGGAAGGTGATAAGCAGCAATAGCCCACGTTTTTACTCCAAGCTACGTTGCTACAGAGTGCTTGATTAATGCTGGCAAACCGCCCTTGCTATTTGGCCCATAAATACTTTTGATAATCTGAGTAAAGTAAAAGAAAATAATACCGTTAAGATAAAATCCAAATTGTAGCGTGTGATGAGTGTTACTTGATAGTGACCATGCCGATGGACTAATAGATTTAGGATCGAACCCAGACTTCAGTCGTTCACCCGAATGGTATACATACAAGAGCTGTAGAAAAACAAAGTGCTACTGTGTTCAGAGCTACATGTACATATGGCTACCTAGAGATGTTACATTTGATATGTATATTTTTCGCTGTGTTACAACATCATGTTTTATTTTCTTGAAATGCAATCAAATATTATCAATCGTAAATATTGAAATGATGACTAACAAAGGAAAATAAATGGTCGCTCAAATGTGAAACACCGTGTGATTGGATCAATCTAAGAGCCATAAGCTATTGAAACATATTAAAGGGCCTTCGTACATCTTCCTGTATTTCACAAGTTTTATTTGCTTTTTCTTTATCCAGGGTATTTAAAGTGCTTATGTTGAGAAGGTGACGCCTCTATAGACTTAAGCTTAGGTGTGCTCTCATGCATGTCAATGTTTAGAAGGTGCTGCTTCTATAGGTTGCTCTCCTGTGTGTCAACATTACGTGCTGCTTCCATGGGCTTAGGTTCACTGATGACTTAGATGATAGCAAAAGTGGCACCTTCTAAACATTGACATTGGACAGTGAACCTAAGTCAATGTTTAGGCGCTGCCTCTATAGGCTTCGGTTTGCTGCTGCTGCCCTGCCAGGGCCACCTGAAGAAGCTGCTCCTGTCCGTACACTTGAGCCGGATCTCGTCCTGTCCGTCCAGGTGAACCACGAACTTGTTCTCGGCCTTCCCCGCCCGGACCGTGTAGTCGTTCCCGTACATGTCATAGATCACCAGCTCGGCGTTACGCCACACCTGGGAAATAGAGATGGGGTAACCTTAGACACATTCCTTAGACACATTTCTTAGACACATCCCTTATAAACATTCCTTAAGCACACTATCCAATGACAGAGTGAAACTTTCCATCTTTAGAAAATGTATCCACAGCGCGTTCAAGCATTTGGCCTTCTTCACCATGCGTGAATTGTTGCAAAAACAGGTTAAACACTAGACATGTTTGACATAAAAGGAACCACCGGCCCTGTATCTTATGTTTCAAATCCTTTTTGGGCACGAAAAACCAACGAAATAAATAGTTTGCTCAGGTACCAACACGAATGAACAATCCTTGTCATGGAAAAACCTTGAACCTTGTAGCCTGGGTGCCAGACCCACAGCACACTAGGCTCAACGTTATCCTGTGTGCAGATAATAACTTTGAGCCTAAGTGTGCTGTGGGTTTGGCACCCAGGCTATGAATCTTGCGCATAATGTTAATCCATTTTACAGATGCTACACGTACCTCATACTAAACATGAGGTACGTGTACAAGAAGAAAAGATAACATCAGTTCTAAAATATAACACTTCACCTCGGGTTTTTCCCTCTCCAGTTCGGTGATGACCCTCTGTAACATCTGCCTCAGCACCGCCTGTCGTGCTGTGTCCTCCGTACCCTCATTCCCGACATGCTTCACGATAAGCTTCCCCAGAACCACCTTGTTGATCTCCTGAACTTCGACCTGTGACGTATGACAACAAAATAGATTACTTGTCGTGGATAATACTAGTCTACTTAATTTCTAATGTAGATAGTTTTAAAGTTCTTGGCAACGTTGTGCTGTTAACCAGTTAAAACGATACAGAGGTACACTGCAGACTTACACGACCCCCACTCCACCTCAAACATTCCTTGAATACACCTGTAGGACGATGAATGTGGCGTGATATTTGCAGAAACGACCATGAATGACAAACAAGATCACGGGATAAAAATGTGTTGCTATCCACGATGGTCCTCTTTCATTGGGATACAAAAATACTAAACTATATCACGTAATGCTTATTCCTCCAAGTGAATAAAAGTGACCATGCTCTATATAATGTTAGTACACTGCCATCCGATGTCGCTTTCCCGGACCTTTGAATTCCTTTGGTTTACCTGATTGTCGTGAAATTACAAACACATTACAGTTATACAATTGTAAGACGTCACAGCACGAAATTCGAACTCAGAAGCCACAAAGCGAGCACAAACCTCATTATTGTGCACAATCTTCTTCTGTCCCGAGGACACCATTAGATTACCCATGACTGTGTCCTGGCTTAGCGTTCAGACGAGTTGTAAGAACGACCGATAATCCTACAAATGAGGCGGGGCCGGGGAAAAGGGGCTTTCCGTCACGTCACCTTTCTACATGGAGCTGCGGACATCGGGACTTTCCATTCATGTTTACAGTTACGCCTGACTAGGAGGGGCTTCTGAGTAGATGCTATTAACATTTGACCCCGGACCGGGACTTACCGACTTCTGTACACAAAGCTCAATGAGGCAGAGTTTACGATGCACTTTGACATATGACAAAACGACTATTTTGTTCTATCACAAACTACCATGAAAGAAAAAGAAAGAAACTCACAGAAACCCAATATAACACACTGTCACCTATAGCTAATCTCCCCAACCCACCCTCAATACACCTGTGTGCTGGGGTAATGACTGAGTAAACATGGCGACGTTGTTCACGAAAATGAAAGTGCTGCACAGTGCACACGTACTTTGACTGGGAGTTATATGGGAGGGGTAGGGGTACAACACACCTGATTGTTGTGTACGATGTTCTTCTGTCCCGAAGATACCATCAGGTTACCCATGGCGGCCGTGTGGTTAGAATGAGCATCAGTATTACTGACGCTCACGTACAAGATGATACGCTTCAAGAGCGTTTGTCTAAAAATAGTTGGGGGGAAAAACGTCCAGGCTTAGGGACTTTCCATCACGTGTTGTTTACAGTTTAATTATCTGGCTTTTGATTGGAGAAGACTGAACAGTGTGACTAAGTTTTGTACCGGGTGAAGGGACTTTCCGATTATTCTGGAGACTTCAACAAGCCACACCTGTTGATTCAAGTAACTCTACCAAGCCTAGACACCACTGTACATGTAGCAATGGCCCCGGTATACTGTAACGGGTGCGGTGCGCGTGCCGATGAATATGACAATTTTTGCGACCGCTGTGGGAGAGAATTAAGGAGAAGGCAGATTTTGGTAAGAATTTATTCACATATTTTTATTTAAAATTTATCTAGCTATTCTTAAGTGAAAACAACATTTCGCACTGTAAATCCGTCCACGACATCTTGCCGACAGAAACCTATAACAGGCTGTAGGGGTGAATCTATTGTTAACCTTTCACAGCTCTAAGATCTTACTACAATGACAATGTACATGTATTTAGTACCGGCGTACACAGTTCTAATTTGAACGGTTTGAATCACATTGCCTACTTAAAATTTATTTTTAAAGTGCTTTGCTATGGTTAGACACTCTACTATGCAGTGCCCCCACCACACTGACCTGGGTTAAGGGACCGAAGGTACAAGGTACAAAGGCTCTTCGTGACTGCATAAATAGAGATTATAGAGATTCTTTGTTGACTCAACAAAAAGTACAGGGACTTTTGTATGGTCTTCTACAACTAAAGATCTATATATGTAGACTCAAGATCACCCCATGTTTAAAACCTAAATGTACCTAAGCCCAAACATTGTTTGAAACAAAGTACGCGTGCTTAGAAGGCCCCTATTTGTTCCTACAGGAGGAGGAAGTGGACTGCTCCCCCTACATCGACCACTCAGACATCGCCAAGTTCCGATATGACAACAACGACCGCCTAGTGGACACGGACCGCAGGCTGCTTCAGGAGGCCCTGACTCTGGTCACAAGCGAGAACCAATGGGTGTGGAGGAACGCCAAAGTCTCGGTGTACGGGGTGCTCGTGAGGGCAGTCTTCTACTCCGGCGACAGGACCAACAAGTTCGTGGTCCAGCTAAACTCGGAGGATCGCCCGACCCATGTGGTAGAAGAAAGGGGGTGGCGTCTATGGTTTAAGGATAGCTTTAAAACCGCCTGGGGTTGGCTCAAAGATGTTGGTAGTAAAGTAGCTGGGGCACTCACGGGCCCATTGGCCAAGTTGGCCATAGGCTGGTGGTCTTAGTGCAATATGTATCCTCCTTTACGTGCCATCAAGACCATGAGGCACCTAAACCTTTACAAAACGTGAGAGGCAAGTCAAAATTATACATGTAGTAGAAATTGTAACAGTGTGGTTCTAATTGTGATGCTGTTAGTGACAATCCAACGTTTATGCCTCAGTGTCATCAGAAACTGGATGATAACGAAACCAAGTACTGTTGCGGGATTTTCATCTCTTCTCAGTAATCTTAACACTGGCAACCATGGGCAAAGATTGTATTGATACCGAATGTTGTAACTGCTACGATGTGCACTCAAGAGTAAAGCAAGTGCCATAATCCAGAGTAACAGGTGCCATGTTAAACATAACATCAGGTATTTTCGTAAGCATGCCTGATAAGAATCTGCACTACTCAGAATTTTACATGTAGATGTCTCAGAGCAGTTTTGTCATTGAATTAGCACGATGGACACGTATTGAACAATAAAAAAACGCGCATCCACACTGTGAAGCGGTATGTCGTAGTGTCTCAATCTGAGTTAGATAGTGTGTGAAACAGAAGTCTCCTTTACACATGCACCATAATAGACCATAGAAGAAAACCTCACAGACGGCTACCTATTGCACTACTAGATACGTAGGTTAAGTCGCCGTTGCGCAAACTGTACGTAAAACGTTTTTGAGAGCTAGTGGCCTCAGTGATAGGCCCAGCAGAACTATTGAAGAAAGTCACAAACGTTCAGAAGAATCTTGTAATATTGAACAACAGGAGGACATTTGGGTTTGACGAGCAGTCACACCACAAAACCTCCTCAGTTATCTACTCAGCACTTAAAATCCCCTGCCTTGTATGTAACTCTTACATACAGCAGTACCAACCTGGTTATTATGTACGATGTTCTTCTGTGGCGATGATGATACCATCAAGTTGCCCATATTGACGGTCCAAACTACTGTTGGTGAGCAAGTTTTCTCACGGTAGCCTCACGTGCCTTTACCAGCGCGAACGAACGTTTCCTCGCTTCCGCCTTCAGTTCTCCCGGGTGACGTCAGAGTTCAAAGGTTTTGAATCGTTACTAACGGTGACCAAGATGGTAAAAGCCAGTGGATTGTCACCGCCTGGCTGTGACAACGGAAGCATTTTGATAGGTAAAGTTTACGTTTTCCGCTCAAGGCTATCGTTGTGATTAGTTAAAATTAATACTGAAAACATTCTATAACCTCTGGGACAAATCATGTGACTACTTGTAATGGGATTCCCCGTCCCAAAATACACGGATAAGTCATAGGGGAATAACGTGTCGTCACCCGACCTCACCTGGAGAAATTAACTGCGTAGTTGGCGCAGATTCGGGCCGCCTCAGCGTTCTCTACCACCTTGTCTGGTCAAATGCTATATTGGCCTTTCATTTACAAGTAAGTACTAGCGACTAGTGGTTTGATGTAACCATCAAATAATGTGGTTTCTGCAACATTGGCCAATCATTGTGCTTAGAAGGTAATTTTCGGACGCCCGCCATTTTATTTGTAACTTCCTTCTTATTGTCCTGTGAAAAGTCACTCTAACTCTGATGCCCTTTCGTTTCCGTTCTTCCTCATGCAGGATTGACATGTGATTGCCAAGACCCAGTGCCAAGAAATCACGAATACTGGGAATGCCCAGTTCGTGATGGAAGCTCCACGACAGCGCTGAGAAACAAAAAGATCATTTTGGAAGCCAGACGTGTACTGATCGAGGACACATGGACGGTACGCAATCAGATACGACACTTACAAGTAACTTACAATAATGAAGTTGATGCTCTTAAATGAACCGCTGGGTAGGCAAATCTAGGGAAAATGTGTCATGGCGTGTCATGTCGTACATGTTATACAAATGGACACAGACGTCTTTAACTAATTGTGTGTGTAACATCATCTAATAAGTTATATATTTGATGTCTTACAGAGCCCCGTGTGTTCATCATCCATGCGGGAGAAGACAAAGACTCAATCGCTTTCCCGATTTACAATGCCCTCCGGCAACAAGGGTTAGCTAACAATGACATATTTTTGGATGATGTTTCCATTCACCCCGGTGAGGTTATCCGGCACAAAATAATCTCGACCTTATCAAGCGAAAGATTAGAACTTGTTGTCATTATCGTCACCCAATGGCTCCTTAACAAGCACTACTGGCCTAAACTAGAGTATGAAACGTGCCTGAACAAGAAAGCTATATTTCCCATTTGGGTTGATGATAACGGGGACAACTTCAACTCATTTAGTGTGTCAGTCGGGAACTACTCCCCCACATTAAAACAGTTGAGGGCAAGATGTGTACAGAGACGCTATGTCTATTATGAACTGCCATACATCGCTGCTGAGATCGTACAGCAACTCTCTGCAGCTGCATCGCCGTTGGAAACCGAACTAGTAAGTTCCACTTAAGCACTGTTTATACTTTATACATGAAATTATCTCCCAACAACGTTTTCCATTAAGCCTTTAAAACTGCACCATGTTTATGTACATCTTGAAATCAGTTTTACCAGGCCGTACGCCAATCAAATCCAAACCCTTCACAGTGTAAATTTGTGGTAATAGTCTTTTCATACAGTAATGATGAGTATGAGATTTTGTTTAAACATAACAAACGGATCTTATTTGTACAGGACAAGTCGTTAGACTGTTCCCCATACATCAGCCACGGAGACATCGCTGGCTTTCTTCGTGACTACGACCACCTGATGTCGGGGTTTCGGCGTAACCTCCTGCAGCACACCATGGACCTGGTCACAGACGAATGGAGGTATGTTATGAAACACGCCGAAATCACCGTGCACGGGCCCCTTATGGAGGTGGTGTTCTTCTCCGGCGACAGAACCAACAAGTTTGTGGTGCACCTCAACGGGGAGAATCGCACGGTCCACAAAGTGTCAGAAAGGGGTGTGATTATGACGGTACGAGATGGTACGAGATGGGCCTGGGACCGGGCTTGCGAGGGAGTTAGAGCTATCACAGGCCCAGTTTGGTCTTTTGTTAGTAAGTTTCTCCCTATTGATTGGTGATCTTCGTACATGCCACAGTTATATCGACAATGTAAAATCCCGAGGCACAAAAACCTTACAAGACCACACAGAAGTGTAGAAAATGTAATCCTGTGATACTACGATGAGTTACATTACAAAATTGTGCCCAGTCAATATCAGAGCCCGTGTAGATATCAATGATTGTCTCCAAATACAAGAGAGAATGAAATCAACTACATGTCTGTGCCAAGGCTAATACATGACTTAATATGGCTCTATTGAATATACTGTCAGCTCTGGCAACCATAAGTAATATGTCACGAAGATATTTCATTGGGATATCTGTGTCTTGTAACTTAAACGTTTAGAAGTTGAAGACATAAATTAGAGCCGTCATGTTAAACCTTCTCTCTGCTGTCTAAACTACAGGTGTTTAAGCAGGAAAAGAGCTTGTAATTTACTCTGGACAATTATTGTTTTTACTTATCCTTAGTTACACACTATGTGTCAAATATAGTAGACTTTGGCTTTAGTCTTTGCCTTAAAACAGAATCGTATGGTTCTACATATCGTATGGTTATCAATATCTTTGAGGGGTACGAGTGATGAGGGTAGTATAAATTATGACTTGATGCCGTATTTCTTCCAGAGGTTAACAAGGTATCCCAAATTAACACTCATTGCTCGGGGGGGGGGGTGCATCTTCATTTGTATATAGTTTAAATCTCCTTTTGTGTTATATGCGTGTGTTTTTACTATGTTATTTGTTGTATGTATGTTTTTGAACCCTGGAAGATTAGCCTTTGGGCTAAAGGGTATCGAAATAAAGAGAGAATTTAAAGCCCCACAAAAATTAGTCATGAACATGAAGAAAAGAGTATGTACTTGATGTTGTTCAGTTATCGTGAAATGCTGGATGGAGTATTGTCATTCTTTTTTCTTTTCACCACAAAGCAAAATCGTGATAATTGTACGTTGACTTGAATTTAATTCAAACACCTTCCCTAGTACACTTCCAGCTAGTCTTACTTCCCTGCCTACCCTCAATACACCTGTGTGCTGGGATAATGACTGAGTAAACATGGCGACGTTGTTCACGAAAATGAAAGTACTGCATACGTACGTACAATGTACGTACACTGTGACTTTTAGTTATGCAGTTATGGGGGTGGGTAAAAACACACCTGATTGTTGTGTACGATGTTCTTCTGTCCCGAAGATACCATCAGGTTACCCATGGCGGCCGTGTGGTTAGAATGAGCATCAATATTACTGACGACGCTCATGATCACGTACAGGATGATACGCTTGAGCGTTTGTCTAAAAATACTTGGGGGGGAAACGTTCAGACTCAGCAGGGACTTTCCATCACGTGGTGTTTACATTCACAGGAAAGGTTATTAAGGTCAGAGGTTTTTCTGCCTTGTTTGCCCAGCGGCAAAAAAAAATATGATATAGCAAAAAACCTCCTTGGTTTGTCTGAATGATAACCGCGATTAAATCGGAAGGCATCGAATGATTGTCTCTCCTTTCTTCATTTGCCTTTCTGAAGTTACACATGACACAGTACAGAATACATTTTGGACATGCACTACAGAACATTATGATAATTTGTAAAGTAACGATCTTGACTTATATAATAGCCTGGGTTCCATCCTGGTTAGTTTACGTCCGCTCCCACAGTCACTACTAGCCTGGGTACCATCCCCAGCAGCTCTATAACTGGTTATAGAGCGTGCGAATACTACTGGGGATGGTACCCAGGCTAAGTCGCTACCACCAACGCATTCACGTTAAAAATTGACCAGAAAATTGACTTTGAAAATCCAGTTTCACTGCCCTGAAATTTAGCGACTGTGGGAGCGGACGTAAACTAACCAGGATGGAACCCAGGCTACTTATATGCAGCTCTCATTTTCAAACCATTGTAACGGTATCAGCGCGTGGGGGTCAAAAGTCACCCTTTGTTTACGGCGGTGAACTGAAAGGTAAGACAGGTGAGGTCACCGTGTGTGACGTCACACGGTCAGGTCGTCGGGAAACCCCGTAAACAAACACGGCGTCAGACGCGACGCGCTGGTCGTGTTCATTCAGCGTCTGAACCGTCGACTACTCAGCAGGGTTGAGGAGCAAGGAGTACTCCATGGAGCCTACAACACCTAAACAAACGGCCGTGAAGGTACGTTGTAGCTTATGACTTCATCCAGGTGTGTTCCAGGTGTAACGACGGTGTTCGATAGTACTCTGATCCAAGATGACGCCAATTTGGTACGCTATGGGTTGCTAGAATGTCGACTCTCGGAAACCCCCAAATCCTCTGGGAATCCCGGTGCTCTAAGACCACAGAAATAGACTGACTGGGTGTTATACCTTAGCGTTGTTTACTTCAGAATTACTGTAAGTAACCGTTACAACTACGGTGAAATCTAAAGCTACTACTAACGTTAGTATTCTCAGACGTGCGAACTTGCAACAGAATGAACGTCAACAAACAGGTAAGTGCTAATGGCGTTAGTCTGTCTGGTTTACAGGTA